CGGTATTAAGGCTGTCCTCAAGGCCGGCGGTGTTGCCGAGGGTACTGTCTGCTACTCTGGAGACATGTTGAACCCCAAGAAGAAGTACAACCTCGAGTACTACGTCAGCGTGGTTGACAAGATCGTTGGAATGGGTGCCCATATCCTAGGCATTAAGGATATGGCCGGTGTCCTCAAGCCCCGCGCTGCCCGCCTGCTTATTGGTACCATCCGCAAGAAGTACCCCGACCTTCCCATCCACGTGCATACCCACGACTCCGCTGGTACCGGTGTTGCGTCGATGGTTGCTTGCGCTGAGGCAGGCGCTGACGGTATTGATGCCGCTATTGACAGCATGTCTGGTATGACATCTCAGCCTAGCATTGGTGCTATCCTTGCCTCGCTCGAGGGCTCAGACTTTGATGCTGGTCTGGACGTACACATGATCCGCAGTCTCGATGCCTATTGGGCTCAGCTCCGTCTCCTCTACTCCCCATTCGAGGCCGGTTTGACTGGCCCCGATCCGGAAGTGTACGAGCACGAAATTCCAGGTGGTCAGCTCACCAACCTCATCTTCCAGGCCTCCCAGCAAGGTCTCGGTGAGCAGTGGGCACAGACAAAGAAGGCTTACGAGCAGGCCAACGATCTCCTTGGCGATATTGTCAAGGTCACACCCACATCCAAGGTTGTCGGTGACTTGGCTCAGTTCATGGTCTCCAACAAGCTCTCATACGACGATGTTCTTGCCAAGGCTGAGCAGCTCGACTTCCCCTCTTCAGTGCTTGAGTTCTTTGAGGGTCTAATGGGTCAGCCATACGGTGGCTTCCCTGAACCTCTTCGTTCGCAAGCGCTCCGTGAGCGAAGGAAGATGGACAAGCGTCCTGGTCTCTATCTAGACCCGGTCGACATTGCGAAGGTCAAGGCGGACTTGAAGTCCAAGTGGGGCGATGCTACCGAGTGCGACGTTGCGTCCTCCATCATGTACCCCAAGGTATTTGAGGACTACAAGAAGTGGACCACCAAGTACGGTGATCTGTCCGTTCTGCCCACGCGGTACTTCTTGTCTCGCCCAGAGATTGGCGAGGAGTTCCACGTCGAGCTCGAGAAGGGCAAGGTCCTCATCCTCAAGCTCCTCGCCATCGGTCCTCTCTCCGAGCAGACTGGTACTCGCGAGGTCTTCTACGAGATGAATGGCGAGACACGTACCGTCACCGTCGAAGATCAGCACGCCGCTATTGATAACGTCTCACGACCAAAGGCCGATCCTACCGACAGCAGCCAGGTCGGCTCGCCCATGTCTGGTGTCTTGGTTGAGGTCCGTGTGCACGATGGTAGCGAGGTCATGAAGGGCGACCCAATTGCCATTCTCAGCGCCATGAAGATGGTAAGTTTCACATCGTGCTGCTTACATACATCAAATGTACTAACAATTTGGACAGGAAATGGTCATCTCAGCACCACACTCTGGCAAGGTCAGCAACTTGTCGGTTCGCGAAGGCGACTCGGTCGACTCTGGCGACCTTGTCTGCAAGCTCACAAAGTGAGCATGATGTTACATTACATTCCACGTTGATGATATAATGGTTTGTTCGTGCATCATTTAATCGCGTCAGAATTGCTCGTAGAAGCAGAGGCCGAGACTGTCTGCCGGACGAGTAAAAGGGGTGTCAAAGAAGAGTTGAAGAATGAGTTCAAATATCTCACGTGGCACGACGAATGAGCAATTCAATGACGGCGTTGGTATGCCGATTCGTAATGATCCCTTCTGACTATGGCTACGGTTGACTGATGAGGCTTGAAAAGTGCGTCGTGCATAGTGATACATATCACACACAAGTGACAATGCCCAAGCGCAGTCTCCGCCACAGCAGCATTGCATTAGCGCACGTTGCCCTGTCCGAAGTCATGCTACACAGTAACTTAGATCTTGCATATTCCTACACAGTATTACAAGGTCTACATCTAGATCTCTAGCATCGCTCGGCACAATAGGCAGCGAGATAGTCCAGCTTCGCGCCTCGGGCCATGACGCCCCGAAGCTCTACGCACCACCGCACCGTACGTCTATCGCACGATCCCAGACCCCAAAACAACGCCCGGAAATGCAACCCAGGCAGAACGGCTATCCTAGGCTCAGTATATGCAGCCCTACCCAAACGCCAAATAGTCACGCAATCCCTCCCGTTTCCCGACCGGCTCGGTCGGGTCGATCGGGACATTTCGGCGCCAATGGCCACCACCTCGTTCACCTTGAGTCTGGCTCACGACATGTCAGTGTCATCCCATATTACCAAAGTCCAGCTTGCGCGCAACTTTATCCGCGCGTCCGTTTGCTGGTGTTTCTCCTCCTTTCCGTTTGAGGTCTTCTCCGAGTTTGTCCTCGCCGCCTCCTTCCCTGGGTAGATTTTCTTTGCTCGTTGGCTTTGGGTTGATTGTCCAATAGCGATGTTCGAGCGCAGCGCGCGCAGATAGACGTTGTTTCGGATCCATCGTCAATAAGCCCTTGAGCAAATCGATGCCGTCTTCGCCGAGAAGCGCGAATTGACTGCGCCACCAGTGCATTGGTTTCTCGCGTTTCGCAGCCATGGTGTTCTTCGTCATGCCAGGCTGTTTCTCGGGCGCGACATAGTATCGTAGCGAACTTACGCCGGGCCAGGTTTCTTCTGTGGGAGTGCCAAAGTGGTCGCAGATGACTGCCAACGCGCCAATGTCTGTTTCTGAAACGAGGAAGAAGCGTCGGAGTGTGAGTTCTGCGAGCACACAGCCCACGCTCCACATGTCGACTGCGCCGCCGTAGTGGTAGCATCCGTAGAAGAGCTCTGGTGGGCGGTAGTACCGTGTGATGACATTGGAGGTCATGTGTCGTCCTGGGTCGGCGAAGGAGCGCGCAAGACCAAAATCAGCGAGTTTGACGGTCCCATCGGCGGCGATGAGTAAGTTGTTTCCCTTGATATCACGGTGTAGCACAAAGTTCTCGTGGCAGAACCAGATGGCTTGGCAGAGCATGTTGGCCCAGGCTTTGATGTCTGCGCCGCCGTAGGGTATCTTGTTGTTCTTCCAGAGACCTTCGACGTCGCCGAGGGGGAGGTGTTCGAGCACGAGGCTCAGGTTTTGCTCTTTGGTGGAGAAGACGGCGTGTAGTTTGATAATGTTCGGGTGTGAGAGTTCGGATAGGAACTTGATTTCGCGGATGGCGTCTGGGGCAATGCCGTCTTTGAACTCGGCGTTGAACTTGATCTTCTTGATCGCGACCAGTGCGCTCGGATCGTCGCGATAGTGTCCTGCGTAGACATTGGCGTAGGTACCTTCTCCCAACTTCTTGCCCTGCACGAATTGTGACCGTACTTTTACATTCATCTGCTCGGCAAGATCAAGACCCTCTTCAGCATCCTCGGTGGCGGTGGCTATGCTTGTAGCTGCTACAGCGGCGGGCGAGCGCGCGGCTTTGTTGCTCGAATTGAGGATCGCGAGGGCTTTAGATTTGGCGGCATTGGGAGCTGTCCTTTGGCCTGGCGGGTTAGGCCGAGGACTGAGAGGCGCGGGTGAGGCAGCCATGGTGAGTGATGCGTGAGCGGCAGCGATGCCTAGTCCTGAGTACTGAAGGAGACTCGCGTGGAGCTGGCAAAACGTGGTGAAGTCAAGGCGACGCGCCGGAGCGGCTGAACGAGCGTAGTGGGTGGGATTTGCCTGACATAAAACTCCTCATGGTCGCCTGGGCTCGTGTCTTATGCGCCCGATAGTCCTCCTCTTTTGAACGTCTGACATGTAGTGGAAGCGTGCATGTTCAAGGCGACAATGCGGCGATGAACGCACGGCCCCGGACGTCACTAGCGTCAACTTTGTGAACTTTTGCGGGGAGCTCAACTCACCACCGACGCCTCCAACACAATCTCAACTTGTCGAAATCATGGCGACCACCGCACGAGGAGCCCCAGGCACCACCGCCGTCTCGAAATCAGAGGGCGTTCCAAATAGAACGTAAGTAAAGCATTCGCAGCGCCCTTGCAATTGGCCAACATCATGTACAGATTCGCTAATTCTACATAGTCTCTACGTTCGCGGCCTACCAGACAAGCTAGCAAAAGACGACCTCAAGCGGAATCTGTACATGCTGTTTGCGACTTATGGCGTCATCTTGGATGTGGTGGCACTGAAGACCATGAAGATGCGCGGGCAGGCACACGTCGTATTTCGAGACATCGACTCCTCAACACAAGCAATGCGCGCATTGCAGGGCTTCACATTCTTCGGCAAGGACATGGTACGTCACTCGCGGTCATTGGTTTATAAGCAAAGAGACTAACGGCACCACAGCAAATAGCGTATGCGAGGGGGAAGTCCGACACGATCGCAAAGCTCGATGGATCGTACCAGATGCCAGAGCCTGAGAAGGAGGACGAGCCGGAAGAGACAACCGCACAAGCAGCAGGCTTTGGTGCGGCGCCTGCGAAAGCAATTCCTGTCAACGCACCAGACGCGGCAAAGGGACAGAAGAGGGCACGAGACGACGAGGAAGAGGAAGAAGAGGAGGATGCGGAGATGGAGATGGATGTTAGTGACGAGGATTCAGATTGAAGAGATGTATGGACCAAGGAAGAGAGAAGACGAAGAGGGAATATGATACCCACTACAGCCCAACCAAAGTTGACGGCGAGCTACCATGTCTGGCATCTTGGTTAATTATCTCGGATCATGTATGCGAATCTTAGGAAGACCCAGAAAGGACAGGCGCTGACGCTACGCAGAACGCAGAACACGATGTTACAGCGTATCGTAGGCCCTGAGTGCCTGCGTCTGCAGCCTGCGCATGCCACGCCAGCCCAGACAAAACAATAAATGCTATGCATAAAGAGAGACGACTGTGTCCTAATTTACCTGTCGAACATTGTTGTTACGAGCTTCGGATGCCGGTGCACGGACCAACCAATATTCTGTCGGCGTGCCGAACAACCAACCTTCACAATGGGCACGAATCACAACAACTACCAACCACCAAAAAGAATATTCAAAAAGCAAAAGAGTGGCGGCACTGGGACTCGAACCCAGGTTTCTACAGTATCTGCGATATCGACCACAATGTAGTATTCTACCTCTAAATTATGCCACCTTGAAGTTGTTGATTTGACAGTTTTTTGAAACTAAGTGATATATACACAGCACTTGTAGTCTTGTACAGACGACAAATCGAGCAACATTTGTGTTTATTTCGAACAAGTGGAGTCAAACGGGAAGAGAGTGGGTCGGTGAGTCACAATTTTCATGGAAGAGGCAAAAGAAAAGTGAAAACGCGAGCAAGTATGATAGCCGTTCGTGCTTGGGCCGGTTGGAGAGTGAAAGATAGACAGTGATATGAGGACAGGAATACTATGTGTGATTTAGATAATACTTTCGTTTTCCTCTATTTTATACTATGAGCTTGAAGGTAGCTTGCTCTGGCTCCAATAACCAACAATACTTGATTTGACGTACGCGCGGAGTGGACTTCGTATATCTGCGACTGTAGCCTGAGCAAGGTCATTACTGTTTTATTTTTAACAATCATGTCGTTTGTTCAAAACTTTCTTATCATTCTTTTCGGTTGCTGTCAATTTGAGGCTCTTGAAAAGGACGCGAGGGTTGTGCTGGGTCACTGTGTATGAACCATTCTTGCGCCAGTATTTGGACAGGCTCAATCCTCGCAGTGGCAATATGCGAACATACATCGGGATACGCTCATGGACGGCTGAGTGAGTCCGTACCTGAATTTCGCGACCGTCTTCTTTAACGAGCCATCGATCCCATACTCATCAACGCTCTCCGTCTAGACCCGCGGTATTTGCTTCACAACGTCTCCACTTCCCACACTCATGTCGCCCGCCCGTATGACATCGTAACAATCGCCAGAACACAGGTCAGGCAAATACTGATCCTGATCAGCACGTGAGTCTTGCGTTAAGACAAGTTGAATCGTTGAGTCTGCTCGTTTCGAATGTCCTAGCTTCAGCGACCTCGTGAGCGCTTCCAGAGACACATAGTTTGGGTAGCAGCGGGATTAATGGAGGTTGATTTCCAGTGTCAGTAACCCGCAACTCTTGGGCAGGTAGGGCAAGATTTGACGAATCCTTTCTTCTGAAGTCGACGGCTAGTGTATACGCATTTGCCGATCAAGCGAACACCTGTCCTTTGAATCAACAAAGAACAAGAATGTAATGTTGGTCTGGACACTGGAGTTGATGAACGGAATTTCTTGCAAACAAATCACTAAGGAGTCATTGCACACAACCCAGCGTATGCAAGACGCCCTCCTGGAAAGCTGCTTATGTTTTCGCCCAAGACCAGAGATCGCGTTACATCATGTCTTCGATCTCTTGAGGTAAACTTGTGAAGTAAAGATGGCTTGTAACGATTCGGGCTACTTGCGTGTAACATTCTACGCCGTCTTAGGGTTTGCCTGATGTTTCTGACCTCGAAGTCATATTTTATGTCGAAATCGCACCAGCTGCGTTTCGTGGTATCATTTAGGCGAGGCCGGATTGCAGTCAGATCAGACCAGGCCAAGAGCGTACGGGTCTGTACTGCAACTAGACTGTGGACCACTGGGACGACGACATGAAAGCATGCCACGATCACGCGAGCTTTATCGTTTGCTGTTCGTGCAGTAGTTGGCGTACGATGGAAATGTGAGAGGTGCAAAAGGAAGGGACAACAGCAAAGAGGTGAAGTCACGAGCTTGACCAGGTTTCACGCTCAAAGGCGCAATGCTTTTTTGACGACGCTTAGCACTCTAGCATCGCACTATCCAGGAAATCTGCTAAACCTATATATTAGGCTCCAGATACCGAATCACGGTAAAGGCTACTTTTTCCATCCAGACTCCTCCAGCACCGCTAACCGTCGCCCAATGCTTCCAAAGCAAACGCAGCTGCAGAACAGCACGCTCCCTACCCATGTGACAACTGCGAGGTTATCATAGCTGACTACTCCAGCAAACAGGTCTTGGTCGGGCACTGCCACTGGCGGCTTACTTGTGAAGCTACCGCTGCTCCTGGGTAGTTGTGTGGTGTTTGTGGTCGACGGTAATGACGGCGAGGGGAGCACGTCGGGGTTCGAGAGGAAGATGAAGGAAGTGAGGACCGAAGTCACGATGAGGGAGCATGAGAGCCCGGGCTTGGAGCGGTCGAGTATGTACCACAAGGCTGGATTGACAAGGGCGAGTGTAACGGTCAGCTGCAAGGTGGACTGCCACGGCAGGCGGCGCTGGAGCGAGTTAGTGTATAGTCCACTACTTGTTCAGGACATGGAAGTCGGGAGACTCACGATAGCGAAAGCGATTCCAACAAACGCGGCCACGCTCCGAACCACATCATTGATTTGCTCGCTGATGGGCGAATCGCTGTCCGAGTCTGATGCTTTGTCCTCACTTCGCTCCTCCGCTGCGGGGCTACTCCATGCAAGGTCGACGTAGGGCAGCAAGCTTCCAAGGGCCACCCCGAAGAAGCCCCAGCTGCCAAGGTACAACCAGCTCTCCCTGTTCAATCCCTCGAGATGTACCGCCTCGAGTTGACGAGAGTCGTGAAGATGCGACACAATGAGGCCGTAGACGACTCCGAAAAGGAACAGCGCCGCCAGCTTGCTCGCAAGTACTGCATGCTTCCATGCGCCATGCCTAGCCCGTCGTGGTGACTGTGTCTTCCTCTTGCCATCGGCTCTGCCACTTTGTACGCCGCGTCGTGCTTGGCTCTTCATGCTTATTCCGGCGTCTGGACTTCCCATTCCACCATCGTATGCCTGAAAGCCCATTCCGCCATGCGCAGGAGTCTCCGCGCCGGTACCCCAGGGCGTTTCTGCCATACTGGCTGCGCTCGAGCCGACATCGTCGTATATCCCAAACAGCGTACTGCTGGTCATGTTCAAGAAGCTCTTGTTGCGCGAGGGAACACTCTGTTCTCTTTCATTGTCGTCTGCATCTTCGTTCCGCGAGTTGTATGTCCGCAACAAGCGGGCGTTCAGCTGTGAGAGGAAATCTGACGACCTGCGGGCCTCGTTTGCGCTCGGGGGCGTTGTTTGCGAGAAAGCGTGCGTTGGTGAGTCTGCAGAGTCATGTTGCTGTGTATCGAAGGTCCGGCGCGGAACGGGACGATATATATGAGGCGGTTGTTGTTCCGCGTTCGACGGCGCAAAGGTGTCGTCTGCCATGTTTCGCGGCGCGCTTCCGATCCCGAGCAAGGGTCCGGCAATGCGACAATTCGTGTACGTCGCGAAAGTGCTTTCGATTACAATGTCATAGGAAATACAAAAAGTGAATGTAAGAAGAAGGGAAAGGAAGAATGAAGTAGGGCCGAGCAAACTCTCCACCCCTCGTTAAGTGTTGCAGTATTGGAATGGAAGGTAAGTCGGAAACTGTACGCAGGGTCAGTGCACGTGAACAGCAAAAGGACTTGGCTCCATGCGAGTCATGCATGGATGCTTCGCAAGCCTACCTCGTATAGGATATTGGAAATTGCGAGCTCCAGAGTTGAAGGATGGGAATGAGGGGAAACAGTATGTATGTTCAATCCAGAGGGCACATCTGACGTTGTTCTGCATGTGTTCAAGCTGCCTTTCATGTGAAAATCGGCTGACGGTCCGATGTCGATCTTCTCCGCAGACTCCCGTGTTCCCAACATTTCTCAGAGAATACTGTAGGTGCATGATATCCATTGTATAGGCTATTGCGACTCTTCATTGGGAGATGGTGCTGTTACACAAAGCCCGCTATCTCCAACAAATGCTAGGATCGTTATACCGCGGCTGCCCACAAGCGGACTAGAATACAGCCAGAGGAGTCCTTTTTGCGTCTACCCTCACCAACTCCTGCTTGAAATGCTCAAGAACGTGATGCACAAGGTCTTGTCGTCTTGCCGAAAACCGACGCCCTCCTACGTGTACAATCCTTTTTTAAGGCTATGCTGATCGTGCATTGAACAGACTCAGTCGACAATAGGCTGAAGAATGTTTCCACTGCGAAGTATTAGCAAACAATTCCAGCCGCGAACACGGCAGACTTACGCTACAATGTTGGCCCAGCCGATAAGGCGCCAATGCTTCTCGATACGTCGTGATAGGGCGACCTTCTCACCGATCTCTGTGCATGCGGGCGAAGTAAGCGACAGACGGGCTGCATCAGCCTTGACAGCGATGACCTTGGCACCGGTGGCAGTGGATCCAATGTTGACCATCTGTATGTGGATTAGCTTCAGCGCGACGGATAGCGTTTCATTTCATACCAGGACTTCGTTCTTTGCGAGTTTGGCAACCTTTGCCTGTTTGCCGTCTGCAGTCTTCACACCGAGCAATCTGCGAAGGAGGAAGTAGTTGACCTCAAGCTCGGTGTAGATGTTGGGCAAATGTCCGCGAAGACCCAGGACGAAACCGACAAGACGATCCGCACGACATAGAGTGGGGTCGACACGTGTGCCGACACCAATTAGACCACCAGGAACCGCGAACTTCAGATCATTGTGCTCTGCGAATAGTGACACCACTCTCGAGAAGATTGGCTTGCACTGAATCTTGCCGGCGCTGTCCTTTGACACGATACCGGGCCTGATCTCGATCTCATCGCCCAGCTTGAGCACACCAGTCAAGATACTGCCACCGGCAACACCTCCCTTGAGCTCGTCAATCTCGGCACCGGGCTTATTGACATCGAATGATCGGATGACAATCATGTGAGGCTTCGCGGAAAAGTCTCGCACTGGTACGGGAATCTTGCTGATGAGGTGCTCGTTTATGGAGTCGATGTTGAATTTCAGCTGGGCGGAGATGGGAATGATGGGTGAACCGTCGGCGACCGTACCGCGAATGAATTTCAGAATGGACTCGTAGTGAGCGGCGGCGCTATCTTCCCGCATCAGATCGACCTTGTTCTGGAGGATGATGATGTGGTTAAGCTTCATGATCTCGATGGCGGCCAAATGCTCGCTCGTCTGCGGCTGTGGGCAGGTCTCGTTTCCGGCAATGAGAAGCAAGGCGGCGTCCATGACGGCTGCGCCTGACAACATCGTGCTCATAAGAATGTCGTGACCAGGGCAGTCGACGAATGAGACGTGGCGTTTCAGTCGGTATTTGCCTCCACAGCCCTCACGC